TATTTATAAATTTTAATGTACATTATTGTAGATTATTGTTAGTAGAAAATACAGTCTTTTGATTGGTTGTTTCTCACAAAAAGTTAACCTGGTATCTCTTTGTGGCTGTTTCAGATCATCCATATGCTAACTGTATCCGTCTACGCAAAGCCTTTGTTCTCATCATTTTCTCACCACCAGTATTGGGGACATAAACACTGACGTCATTTACTGTCTACCAACTTTGGCTAGCAGCCAGCTCTCACCACAATAGTATCAGATAGAGAACCATTGAAAACCAGCCACAGGGATTACTGGACAGCTGTTTCATGATAGTTTGAAAATCATCAGCAGTACGCACCCACTGCCAGGGTTCGAACCCAGGACCTTCCGGTTACAAGACAAACTAGCTCGTATACCATTCAGCCATCACTGGGACCCGATTCAATATCCAACACATGAATTCTAACTTCTACAAATTCGTGATTTTATCGCGACCACCAACCGATGTCATCGGTGGGAAATCCATCTTCACTCCCGGCTGGACGAACCTCACTGGTCACGACTTCTCAGTAGAACTCCAGGAAACTCCGTCCTGTAGCAAGTCACTAACGAGCATCAGATTAAGCTTTGAAAAGTTGATTTGTAAGAATTAGTTTTCAATGGTTCTCTATCAGATATCAATCTGTGGTCAAACTTGAAAAACAAATTTAATCCTTACAAATCAACTCTTGAAAACTGTCAATACACGAAATATATTCGTCTGTATATATATATATACATGTATATATATATATGTCATAATCACCACTAATCAACACACTACTGTTTAGAAAAGACTAAGGTATAACATGTATAAGTTGTGTAGTGTTCACCCAAGCACGAATTAATATCATCACCATCATCATCTGTAATTACAATGAAAAAAAAATGATACGACTATTATTATTATGATTATTATTATTATTGATAAAATATGCGTTTGTTATGTTAAAAGCACACTATCAGAGTTTGTTTGTCGTCTCTTTGACCTAAAACATATGCGATGATCGAGACAATAAGTGGATTTTGTTTATTTAACCAGAAAAGGTTATCGATAAACACAGTTGGTCAGTGTCGATAAGATTTTCAATGATTACCTTTCCTAACTGTGTAGTGTAGTTTAGTGTTCTGGTGTGGTGTGGTTTGAACAGAGAACCCGTCAAATAACGGATAATATACAGTTTTGCAAGAATGTGAGATTTACTTTTTCCAGCTTATTGTAATCGACTACAGAACAATTGTGGTTAGAATTGTTTGTTTGTTTTAGAAGAGTTTAATATCCTCTTAAACAATTTTATCATTTCTGAAGTAAAAATTTCATATTTTTTACTATTTATTAGTATTCCCTCGGGTTCTGAGTGGAACATAGGTGTTCTACAGCACATCTCCACTTTATGCTGTTCTCTGCAATCCTCTTTAGTGTGCTTCACGATTTCCCATAAGCTCTCATCTTCTCACCATCGGACAATTAACTTGTTGCTTCTCAATCGGATTTCACTCGAGAGCATGGCGTCCGATGTCATTCAACGGTCTTCTAAGTGTGTGTACAGTCCATTTCTTTCGGCATATTTGTCGGTCAATAGGATATTGGTGCTGGTTCTTTGTCAGACCTCCTCATTGCCAGTCATTTGTGACCTTCTGATCTTCAGTATGAAGTAAAGACATATGCTGATAAGAGAATTTTGGGCTCACCTCGGGCGTTTTGATTAGAACTTTTCTTTTGTCTTCCTCTGCATATACATGGACATCTAAGTGCCTGTTAATCGCAAGAAAAATTTGATCATATCCTCTTGTACTCATAGTCTTGATGTGGCATAAAAGAAAAGATAAGACCTCTTCGAAAAGTAATGATTGAATACAGACATTTAGAGTTGTTCATTTTAATTCTTTCGATTTCTACGAATAGTTTTATCCTGTGTTTCATTGAAAATTGAAATTTCAAACTCATTAGTGCTTACACAAGGTAATAAAGATTCCCTTACAGTGAATTATGTTATAGACGTATATGTCATTAATTGTTTGCTAGCTTTACGAGCAGTTGCAAGAAACCTTAAAAAGGTTAACCTACAAAGCGAAACTATGTTGTAGAGAGTATGTATGTTAGGTAAACATTTATTGGTGCGTTAGTAGTCTCGGGGTCGAATCCCAGAGACCTGGCGATTCATTTGTGATCATGTTGTAGTTCTCTTGCTTTTTACTACTGACATGTAATACGAAGTGAATATCGCTCATACGAATGTATTTAATCCAAATACCCACCAGAAGCAGCAAAGACAGGACTCCAGGTGAACATAGACAAGACGGAGGTTATGAAAATAACCAACCAACCAACCAACAACAACAACAGCAACATCCAGCGCCAATCACCATCAACGAGAGGGATTTGAAATAGGTTACTTCATTCACTTATCTGGGGAGCATTGTCTTAACTACAGGAGGAACGGACGAGGATGTCAAATCGAGAATCGGGAAGGCGAGAAACACATTCATCAACCTGAAACCAATCTGGAAATCTTCGTCACTCAACTCAGCATCAACAACAAAATTCGGATTTTCAATACAAACGTCAAGTCAGTCACTTCTTCTATACGGATCAGAAACCTGGTGGGTCACAAAGAATATTTCCAACAGCCTGTTGCAGACCTTTACCAACAACAACTGTCTTCGCTCTATACTGAAGATCAGATGGCCGGCCGGAAAGAATTACCAACAAGAAACTATGGGAACAAACGAACAAAACAAGAGGCAATCGCCCAACAAATATGCAGGAGAAAGTGGAGATGGATTGGACACTCTTTGAGGAGGCTGCTGGGTGACATCGCGCATCAGGCCATCGCTCGAGTGGATCTCGCAAGGGAAGCGGTGAGTGGGACGTCCAATGGTGATATGGAGGAGATCGTGTGAAGAGGAGTTGAAGTAGTCTGGACTAACATGGATGCAGGTGAAAAGTACAGCAGAAGACAGAAGCAAGTTGAGACGTGTAGTTAAAGCCCTATGTTCCAGTAGGAACCCAAAGGAACAATAATGATAACCCACCAGACCGCTTTCTTGTTCTTGGTTATTTATCTTTCTCAAATCTTATTTTTAAATTTATGTGTCTCATTTGCGGTTGCTCATGCAGTAAAATGTTTGTTTTTAAATAAATGAAGTAATGATCTCTGGTGGGAACTTGTCTGTCATTTGAATTTTTATACTTAAAAGAAAGTTACGCCTACTGTACACGCGTTGATGATACTGTTTGATGATTTGGTGATCCAAAGTTTAAATGAGTGATTTATAAGCACCCATAAGTTGCAGTATAATTGAGGTTAATGTGACCATCCTTCAGTAATTGAAACAATTGTCAGACCTTGTAACCTGCTATCCCCGTTAGACAGTGGGAAACGAGAAGGTAGGAAGGAACATGCTGGACTGATATGAAGACACTAGAAGATCTGGATAATTGCCGATCATTTATGTCTCATGTCACATAGACTCGAAGACTTGCAGTCGAAAAACAACAAGTCAGTGGAGGAACCAGTGAAGACAGGATTTCTAGCAAAGAGAGAGAAGACGGAGGTGATGAAGGCAACCAACCAACCAACAACAACAAGCACCAATCACTATCATTGAAAGGAACTTGAAAGAGGTACCATTTCAGCTACAGTCAACACCACAGATGAGGATGTTAAAACCAGAATCCCAAAGACAAGACAGACCTCCGTCACTCTGAAATCAGTTCGAAAATCTTCTGCACACCGCAACATAAACAACAATAAAATTCGGATATCCAATACCAATGTCGAGTCAGTCACCTCTTCTATATGGGTTAGAAACGTGCATTGCGCGTCACGAACAGCATTCCCAACAGGCCACTGCAGACTTTTATCAATAGCTGCCACCTTCACAAGCTCCGTAATGAAGATCAAATGGCTGGCCAGAAGGAATTAGCCACAGGGAACTCTTGGAAGAAATCAACTAGGAACCTATCGGTCAAAATGGATCGAACTCATTCTGAGGAGACTGTTGGGTGATATCGTACTCCAAACCAGTCCTCAAATGGTAATCGAATAGGAAGGGACAAGTTGGGAGTTGGTCGGAGGATAACATGGAGGAAATCGTACGTGGATGAGATCAGAGATTATGAGCAATCGTGGGACCTGCTAAAGAAGATAACAGAAAATAGAACAAAGTGAAGATGTGTTTTAGAAGCCGCCCTATGTTCTACTCAGAATCCTAGGGAACAATAATAAATAATAGTCTAAAGTGTTTCATTCAACTTAAGCAGGTTGTTTATGATTCTTATACACTGTCTGAGTTTCATCAGGGTATGGGTATTCCTACTATGTGGTGAGAGCTAGCTGTCTGCTAGCCAGAATTGGTTGACAGCAATTTTTGTCCGTGTTTATGTCCCAAATCTTGGTCATGAGAAAAAAACAAGAACAAAGACTAACTCAACAACCAATCACAGCAGACTTTGCGTGGGTGGATACGATTAGCAGATATATGGTCTGACCTTCAAAGAAATGGCCACAAAGAGATGACAGGATAACCTTCAGCAGGAAAACAACCAATCAGAAGACGCTGTTTCTCTGCTAATAATAACGAATAATAATGTACATAAAAATATATAAATATCTGTTGATTTCCTCAACAAAGTATCTGTTGCCTGGCCCTTGTCTTCTGTCGTTACACTACTACTACTACTACTACTACTACTGATGGTGATGATAGTAATCTGAAAAGTAGTTTGTGGTGCCATTTTTCATTGTAAGTAATTATTATCAAGTATACAGGTATGATATTTTACTGCGTGTGATTGAAACCTAACGATACAGTAGAATTTAACTATGACCACAAACGAGCTTGTGTGTGTGTGTGTGTCGGCTAGGGTCGGGTTGATATCATAGTTATAATTTATCATGAACTGATTGTTTATATTTTCTATATCTTTTTTCTAAAATTCTGTTAGTATACATATACAATTCTCTCGATTTTAGGAACTTTCTACAGATCTTAGTAAACCAGTTAACGGTGAAGGATTAAATCTAGACTCATCGATTGATTTCTTATCGCATACAAAGGAAGAGCGTAAAACTTGGGCACAAAGAATCCGTGATCTAGAACCAGTTGGTTGGATGATATTCATTGGAGATGGTGCACATAATTTTATGGATGGATTATCTATAGGTGTTGGATTTTCACAAAGTATTGGTTTGGGTATAAGTTTAACACTAGCTGTGTTATGTGAAGAAATTCCACATGAATTAGGTAAGCATATCCAATGTGTTCTACTAGTTTTTCTGACGTTTATTTGGAAGTTGATTTTTACTAGTAATCATAAAACTTGTATTCGCCAATATTTTTTATTTGAAGAGACTTGGTCTGTCTAATCTTATGAAGGAATAAATAGCAACAGTTACTTATAGTGGTTAGCTAGCGTTTAATACCTCCCACTCAATCTCCGAAACCACTTTAAGTGATACTATCGTAATATAAAGTTGTCAATATTCAATTGATGCATAGTGACTAGCAGTGGAATCCAGGATGTGCGCTTCGTCCTATTCGGGACTCGTCCGCCAGGTGGATGTACCTGCATTCCACAGTGAGTGATGATGTTCCCACCGGGGCTCGAACCCAGTGCCCATAGTTCCAAACGCCAAAGCCTTATCCACTAGACCACTTGGGCCACCTCTTGTCAAGTTTGTAAAACTTTGGTTCATTTTCACAACTGTCAGATTCGTTTGTTCATGATGAAATCGAACCAGGACTGAGTAGTTGTTCATTTTTTTGCATGATTATCAGTGATGATATACTCACTTCTTGCATTTTCGAAAATCTAAAAACGCAAACTAATACTCAAATGATTACCCTCTCTGTTTTCCATGTTTATTCGTTGTCGTATGGTTCTGTGTTGTTTTATTGTCATTTGTATGGCTTAGAATTGTAGCAAATTGAGATGTTACACTTCTATGGGCAGTTATTGTCTGTCAGTTAGCTGGAGTCTGTTCACAAGTGAAGTTGTGAAGTTAAGTTGTATCTGTATCTGGCGATAGTCGATCGCAGGAAGAGTTAAGGTGGACAAATTTTGAGACATGCATGTTCTGCCTCCAACTCTCGAAAGTGGGAAGACGCTATAGCTGAATTATTGGTCGTGCGAGATAGGCATCTTGCTGCTATTATACTCCTTTCTCAGTAACTGTATAACTTTGCTCTAAAATCTTCAGCATAGTGTGACCTACTTGCTTCATAAAAGTAACCGCTTTCAGTTTAAGTACTATCTAATTGATTTTTTAGGATGTCACAGCATAGGTCGTTGGATCACATGGATGTAGCACCTATTCATATAGATAGAGACAAGTAGTCTGGTGATAACCTCTGAAAGTAAAGTACTGGGAATACATCAAAACAAAGCAGTTATCTGACGACGGTATTCTATGTGGTTGACGCCACTGAACTGAGCTGCATGGAACTGTGATGTCTTTGTATACATTAGAATTCAATTAACAGAGAGCACTATACGATGTTAGGTCCATTGTCCCAATTTGTGGAGATCTGAACAGAACAGATAGTAAGCAATGTTACTGTCAATTCTTTAATCCCGATCAGAGTGGATCTTTTTAACAGAAAATGATAAAGTCTCCAACTCTGCCATGAATTTATATATCTCCAAAAGAAAATTCACTTTCTCCACTGTTACTAACACGCTTTGTTGATTAGGAGTGCAGAAAAGCACTTTTGAAGCGTCTCAAATTAGCTAGAGATGCCATCTGATATCAGTTGCATCTTCCCTAGAATATACATACAGTTAGAAATCTATAAGCATTATTTGACAATAGTCAGATACAGCAATATGCTAGATGGGATGCAATACCGACGGATTAAATGATGGAAATGTTGATACTTAATTTTGAAAGTGATTTAAGTGCATGCAAAAACTGACGACCAATGATGGTTATGAGACAAAATGATTAACTGCATATTTTTGGAAAATTTGTCATTCACGTTTCAAGAATCATACTAAGTTATAATCAGAGATATAAGACACAATGCGAATACACTATACAAATACAATAAGCGTAGAACAAATTCAAAGGGTGACAAATAATAATTTTATTATTATTATTATTGTTCCCGGGGGTTCCGAGTGGAACATAGGAGGGTTCCAACAGGACATCTACATCTTATCCCATTTTCTGTGGCCGTCTTTAACTGGCCCCACGATTTCCCACAATCTCTCATCTCCTCCACGTACGATTTCCTCCATGTCATCCTCCGGCCAACGCCCAACTTGTCACTTCCTATTCGATTACCATTCGAGGGCTGGCCTGGCGTACGATATCACCCAACAGTCTCCTCAGAATGAGTTCGATCCATTTCCATTTTCCTCAGAATAATTTTTGACCGATAGGTTCCTTGTTGGTTTCTTCCCAGAGTTCCCTGTTGCTAGTTCCTTCTGGTCAGCCATTCGATCTTCAATACGGAGCTTGTGAAAGTGGCAGCTATTGATAAAAGTCTGCAGTGGCCTGTTGGGAATGCTTTTCGTGACGCGCAGTGCACGTGTCTGACCTATGTGGAAGAGGTAACTGACTCAGAATTGGTATTGGAAATCCGAATTTTACTGTTGTTTATGTTACGATGTGGAGAAGATTTTCGAACTGATTTCAGAGTGACGGAGGTCTGTCTTGTCTTTGGGATTCTGGCTTTGACATTCTCATCTGTGCTGTCGACTGTAGCTGAAATGGTACCTCTTTCGAATTTCTTCCAGTGATAGTGATTGGTGCTTGTTGTTGTTGGTGGTGGTTTGTTGGTTGGTTATCTTCAATACCTCCGTCTTTTCTGTTTTCGCTTGAAGTCCTGTCGTCTCTACTTCTTCTGCAAGTCTATTTGACATGAGACATAAGTTACCCGCGAAATTTGGATCTTCTAGAGTTTTCTTATTGCTCTACCGTATTCTTGTATTTTCGCATAAACTAATCCACCATGATTAGGAATATCATCGGTGATATTAGGCGGCCAACCTTGTCTTATCCATGTATTCCCTTCAAAGGTTTCGCTGAGTTTTACTTTGTGGATCACCTGACACGTGTCACTGACAAATAATTATGGTATGATGAAAAGGAATAAAAAGCAAAGAGTGAAGATAACTTAAGTGCAGTGGGAAATAATACGGAATGATGGTGATTAAGTTTAAGATGACGTCTTGGTAGGCCAAAGTAAACATAGAGGATGGATTTACTTCCTTTGAATGTATCACTTAAGATGTCCGAACATTGGTTAATGCTTTGGCGTTTGCAACGATAGATACTAGGTTCGAGCCTCAATGGGAACATTATCATTATCTAGGGAATTATCTCTAGGGAATGCAGGTACATCCGGTTGGTGGTGAGTCCCAAATAGGACGCAATGTGGCGCATCCTGGATTCCACTGCTAGTCACCACACCCATCAAATTACTTCAAGTTTATCCTCAGACATCGAAGCAGGGGCCGAACATTTCCATCCAACCACTCAATAGGCAAATTAAATTTGAATTAAAAATGAGGATAATTAGTTCTTACTTAACGGGTTAAATTTTGTTTATAAATCATAATTTGAGTTATTCTTGTTTCAGTATAGAAAAAATCCCCATTTAGACATTTAGAAAACAGAAAGATTGAGCAGCGAAGAAATATTTACTTTTCAATTAGATCCTCATCTCACTCTGGCTCTACTCTAATATACACCTGTAGCATTTTTATTACAATACACAACAGTTTACCAATCAAGTGGCACTGATATGTTTATTTAACAATAATTAGTCAGTGTCAACATGTCAGTGGGGTGATAATTAACGAAGAAAATCAATACACATACAATTAAAAGGTAGAAATGGTTAGAATAAATTAATTTTACAAGGATAACACGTAATTAAAGATGAAGTGGTCAAAATAAATAAAAATAAAATAATTTGGACAATTATAATTTTCATAATTTTAAAGGTTTAGAGGGAAGGAGGCGAAATAGTCCGGTTTATACATTCATGTAACGATCGCCAAGGAAAGGAAAATGGCTGTACAAATTTCTTCTGAACACACAGGTTTGGCTTCTTCAGATGGATTCCTATTGCTTCAGCTGTTTGTAGAAGACGAACTCGTAGAGCAAAATTAAGATTAGTAGGAATGCGATAGATAATTTTAAATGCTGTATTAACATCAACCTTATGCTCACTGTCTACAAGGTGTGCTAAAATAGAGCTACGAATAGATCTTGTTTGTCCCTTGCTTAACCATGTTGGATGATGTTCGGAAATACGATGATGAACCTGCCTAATTGTACGCCCAATGTAGCTGGCTCCGCAGCTGCAGTCAAACTGGTTAATACACATAACTATATAAACCGGACTATTTCGCCTCCTTCCCTCTAAACCTTTAAAATTATAAAAATTATAATTGTCCAAATTATTTTATTTTTATTTATTTCGACCACTTCATCTTTAATTACGTGTTATCCTTGTAAAATTAATTTATTCTAACCATTTCTACCTTTTAATTGTATGTGTATTGATTTTCTTCGTTAATTATCAACCCACTGCTTGACATTTTGACACTGACTAATTATTGTTAACGAACAAACATATCAGTGCCACTTGATTGGTAAACTGTTGTGTATTGTAATAAAAATGCTATAGGTGTATATTCAAGTAGAGCCAGAATGAGATGAGGATCTAATTGAAAAGTAAATATTTCTTCGCTGCTCAATCTTTCTGTTATTCTTGTTTTCTATGTGGATACTGTACTTTAGTTTATTTTGGTCACATGTAAACAATTGGAGCAATTGTTATGGATACATTCCACTATGTATATATATATATATATATATTGATGAGAATTAGGTAAAACTCAAAACATTGTTCATTATATAATAATTTCCATTTCATTTTTTTTCTCAAGGTGATATTGCTGTACTTTTACGTTCTGGTTTAACTGTACCATTGGCTATGGCATTCAATTTCGCTTCTGCGTGTACAGCCTATATTGGATTTTTTATTGGTATATCTGTTGGTGAATTGTCTGATGTAGCACCATATGTGTTTGCTGTTACTGCTGGATTCTTCTTGTACATTGCACTTGCAGATATGGTAAGTGATTTGTATTAATTAATAAATAGTAATATAGATGGGTGTGCGTTGGTAGCACAGCGGTAGAGTGCTCGCCGACCACGCTGTGGTGGTCTGGGGTGGTTCGATCCCCGGCCGACGAGGCACTCCTTTACCTCGCTAAGGCTGGTGAAGAGGGAATGTTGGAGGGCATGAGGTTAGCAACGTCATCCTGTAAAAAATAATCACCACTGCTACAGAAACTTCAAGCCTTTAGCTTGAAGACGCCCTATGTTCCACTGGGAACGTAAAGGAATAAAAAAAATGTATAGATGGATTGTGCTTATAGATGTTTGTCAGTTCGCCATATTATTTGAAGAAAAGTAGCATTCTTTTGTAACTGAATACGGCTGACTGGTCTCAACGCAGAATTTTGAACAGAAGTACAGTGGTTCAAGTTGCCACACTCCATGCAATACACAAAGGAGAAAAAAGGGAAATTGGACAGAATGGTAATACGCAGAAATGTTAGGAAGAACGAATTGTAAGGTTTAGTGGTAGATTACAAACAGGGAATGCATCTGTGCCAGCCATTGAGAGAGATTTTGAGCCATATCCCTTAAATCACAAGGACCCTAATCAGACAGTAGTCTACGCCTCTCCACGTGGCTGGCTGGCTCAAACTAACTGTTAAAGATTTGATGAACAGATGGAATTTTTTTTAGTGTGACCACCACTAACCTATTTCCAAACTGATTTATCCTATGTCAGTCAGCTAACACATCCCATCGAAGAAGCCGATGTGCACGGTATGTGTAAAACAATGTTGTAACCAACTCAAGTGATGTAGCTTCACAAGCTTATTGAGTGATTCCCCTAATACTCGACGCCCAACCTCAACTGACCACACAAGCTCTATAATCTTTAAGTAACAAAGCAAATGTTTATTATGATAGTATAATACGGCATTGGAGTTCCAACTGGATACTAGATTAGAGCACATTTCTAAACGTGATTAACACATAAGCTTTCGTTGCAATATGACCAACTTTATTTGCCTGTAACTGTTGGTGTAAAACAAAACGTCAAAAAAATAGCTGCAAAGTTGTTATTGCCTCAGTTAATAATGTGACACTGATACACCACCTAAATGTCGTTGACTAACTAAAATAATAATAACTCTATCATTATGACTGCATTTAAACCACAGCAGTATAGTTTTCAAGACTTTTATCAAATTTGTGTATTTGAAGTGTAACATATTTTCATCAGGCAACATACACAAATCTAACTAAAACATGAATTTAAATAGTAAGTATTTTGTTCTATAGGTAGGTATCTTTTAGGCTAAAATTGTTGATTGGTTGGAGGATTTAATCATGAGCTGACGTCAGTTAGAAAACCATTGGAAAGCCAGCTGGGAGTACTGGACACCTACCGGGGTTCGAACCCTGGGCCTTCTGGTTACAAGGCTAGCGAGTTCGTAGACCATTAAGCCACTGGGACTCGCCCAATCTAATGGCCAGTCCATGAATTCTAACTTCTGTCAATTCATGACATAGCGCGACCACTAACCATTGTCTTCTTCGATGAGTTACTGCCTCACCTTCAACTTGCTGTGCCCTACTGGTCACGGCTTTCCATTAGAACCATAGGTAACTGCCTAGTGAGCATCAGATCAATTTTCAAGTATTGGCTTTGCAGGTAGTTTGTTTGATTGGTTCGATGTATCATGTTATACTGCCCGGGGTATAGCAGGTCGGAGGTGAGGACAGTTACTCATCCAAGATATTGCTAAGTGGTCGCACTATGTCATGAATTGGCAGAATTTAGAATTCATGGATTGGTCATTGAATCGGGCTGGTCCCAGTGGCTTAATGGTCTACGAGCTCGCTAGCCTTGTAACCAGTAGGTCCTGGGTCGAGCGCCGGTGGGTGCGTACTGATGAAGAGTCCCAAGCTGGAACTAAACAGCTCTCCAGTACTCCCTACAGGTTTTTCCAATGGTTCTCTAACTGACGTCAGCTCATGATAAAATTCTTCAACCAATGAAACAAAATCCCTACAAAACCAATACTTAAAATTATTGAGATGCTACGTCCACCTAGCCAACTAGTTTTAATAATAATAATAATAATAATAATAATTTACTTTATTCCAAAACAGTACTTGTGATACAGAATGGAATTCTCAGCATTTTTACTACAGTATTGCATCCAATTAGTACATTATCAATAAATAGAATTCTACATAGATTGAGGAAACCACAGTTCATTATGACAACAACATATTGGCATGTCGGTAGCAAAGACAAAGCTGAACAGTGTTTGAAGGTGTTAGAAAAGTAGGTGCTGTCATATTTACTGGCGTAAGCGAGAGAAAGAAACAAAGCAGCACATAACGAAAAAAGAGAGAGAGAAAAGGAAAAGAAAGAAAGAAAATGTTGTACCTATAAATGATATGAGTTGGAAAGACGAGGTCCAGTTGTTCTACTGACTATTTAATGAATTATAGGTGTCACGCCTAATGCTTTCTTTATCGCACAGAACATGAGCTAAGTAGGGTATGGTTGAGTTTTTGTACTTGCTGGTGCGAGCATATAGTTTTCTATATAGGCTTCTGGTTTTTCCTGATGAGATGCAAGGGGAGAGTTGTGAGTGAAGAGGGTGGTGTGAGTTAGATAAAATGGATTTGGCCCATTTTTCACATGAGTCCAAGTGCCTGTCGACCAGAATATTAACAAGCTGGTTAAGTGGCACGTTGCTTACCCTGCTGACAACCTTTAACATCCTGCGTAATATGTTATAGTCTTTCTTCAGTAGCCCGGGAAAAACTAAGGGGGGACAATAGAGAATAATAGGCAGAATGCGAGAGTTAACAAATTGTAGGAGTAAGGGTTGGGTTATACCAGAATGTCTTAACTTCTTGATGTAGAAGGTGAGACGGAATATTTTCTTAGAAATCGTCAAGATATGAGACGACCAGGAAAGATCAGCAGATAGAATGACGCCTAGGTATTTAATTTCCGACTTGGTTTCTATTTCAGTGCCATCTATGTTGCACACCTCGTGAGAGCCAACCAGTTTGTTTAGGTCGGATTTATGCCTAAAGGTGAAATTGACTGTTTGGCATTTGGAGGGGTTTAAGGCAAGACCGTTTTCCTTGGACCACTGGCTGATTTCTGACAGAAAGCCATTAAGTTTAGAGCAGTCACTTTGACATTTGATAGGCAAAGATACAGACAGATCGTTAGCGTATTTGACAAAATTAATGTCATTTGAAGATGGTAAGTCATGGATAGACCAACATAGGGGATTGCACATAAGTTAGTCAATTCAAGATACCACCTTTTTGAAAAATAGTTTGATAGATTAACATAATTTACTGTTGACCTTTAGACAATATACGAATATGCATCTCTAATACATAAAGAGGTCAAGTTTGTATATACACCTGTTTCTCAACAGACTGATGATGTTAATTTCAATTCTTAGATTTTTGTCACGAACCAAAACCATTTTTCGAGAGATCACTGAAAACCAAGGAGCACTAGGCATCTGTTTCGCCATACCTGGAGATTCTTCATCAGTGAGCAACTACTAATTCTTCAGGTTACACGACCTAGCTCTTTGGGCATTCAGATACCTGGGGTGAAATTCATTGACTCCTGGATTCTTAACTCTGTCAACTCGTGATGTAGCACTGCCAGTACTGTCAGTACTTTCGATGAGCATCCAATTCATCTTGACTTGGTCAAGATTTTCTATTGCGGCTTCAGGAAATCTGTCCACTAGCTATCAGTGAGCTGGCAACTGATATTCCAGTTCAAGTGGCTGAATGGTCAGTGAGTTCAGCCTTATAACCCCTGAAGGTCTTAGGTCCTACTCCTAGCAAGGGTGTGGGTCCTCACTGACGAAGAGTTTCAAAATATAACGAAACAGCTACTGTCAAGTACTTCTTGGTTTTCAGTGATCTTTCTCTCTCTCGCACGCGCGCCAACTGATGTTAGTTCGTGATGGAAATCCAATATTTAAAATCAATCCAAAACCCTCACAAATCGACTGTTATGTGCACAGATGACCTCACATAAACTATGAAATTCTATAAGTAGACTGTGTAAGGCACCCTTTCTGAGACAATTAGTTCAGTTAGAGTAAATTCGAATTGTCTGTAAAATTTAATGCATTTGAGCTATACATGTAAAACAGTGTATGTATGTTCAGTTTATATAACGGAGACAGTAGCCTGAAAGGTCAAATAAAGTAAACAAATTCATTTAAGTATAAGAGTAAAAAATGTGAACACTGTATTAGAGTGTAGTTCCATAAATATAAACACAGTGTGATTCATTTAATTGAATTTTCTTTAGATTTTCCCGTCGATTGATTGGACTGAAGTGCTCGGTCTCAGGTTGACATATCGGCTTCTTGTGCAGATGCCTCGACGATGTCTGGGCATATAATCAGTGGTTAATTTGTAGGTGGTGACTAGCATTGGAATCCAGGACAACGTGCATTTCGTCCTATCTGGGACTCGCCAACTAGCTGGATGTACCTGCATTCCCCAGTGAGTGATGATGTTCCCCGTCGAAGCATCTGCACAAGAAGCCGACATGTCAACTTGAGACTGTGCACTTCGGTTCAATCAATCGACGGGAAAATCTAAAAAATTCAACTAAATAATTAATATGACCCATTGTACAAGAGGTGGCTCTCGTGGCCCGAGTGGTCTAGTGTATAGCGCTTTGGCGTTTAAAACTATGTTCACTGAGTTCAAGCCTCGGTGGGAAAATCATCACTCACTGTGGAATGCAGGTACATCCAGTTGACTTGTCCCGAATAGGACGCAGTGTGACGCATCCTGGATTCTACTGCTAGTCACCATCTACCAATTAACAGTGTGATTCAGTATTTTTTTAATGCTGACGTTTTAAGCGAGCAAACTTGTTTGCTCATAATCATATCAAAGCACTCATATAATAACTGATGCATCTTTTGTGAACTGTCATTCCATTGATCTTACTTAAAAAACCGATGAGATGAATATTGTTAATGACGACTATTCTAGAATATTCTATGTATATAAACATATATATATATATATATATAATTGTAGACCCAGAAGAGGAATTCATCGAAAAGGATATTCTTTGTTCAATTATTTTGTGTTTTTTTTCTAGTTTTCTGAATGAATATTTTCGCTATACTGAAATATTGATTTACTTTTCTTCTAGCTTCCAGAAATGCGCGCTATGGAAGATGCTAAAAAAGCAGAAAGTGGCAGTGGTTGGGGAATATTCTTTACTAATCTTCTCGGTTTAATGTTTGGTTTTGGATGTATTGTTACGATTACATTCACTAGCCAGTATATTAATATTGGATAATTGTTATTTTAAAAAAAGCATATATATATAATTATTGACAGTGATCAGGACAATGATAATAATTGAAAGAAAAAAAAATATGCAATAATGACAGACAATAAGATGATTACACTTTATAATTTTGACAAGTTTTACCCTCTTTGTTTGTTTGTTTGTTTCATTTTCACAATTTCTCCCGGTTCTTGCTTTTTTCTCCTCTATCTCTCTCTCGTCCCAGTCTTCTCTTTACAGTGTTGTTTGTTTTCCGGATGTGTGGTTTTGTACTCGGACTGAGTAAATTTTGGTCAATTGTGGTGATGTGTCAGTATTATTACATCCATCCTGCCCGCCCACCCCCTGTCTTCACCTACTCCTAACTCCAACAATACAATGAATGATCCAGTGTAATTTTATAATAATATGATTGTTTATTTTTTTCCTTTTGCTGAAAACTGTTTTTTTTTCTATTCCTTGATACCCTTTCAACTATACACTTTAAGGGGGAGAGAGTTGCTCAATATGTGGATTTAATCAGTGATACTTTCTCTCCTTATTATTCTTCTTATTTTCTTTTTTGTAACTTGTTTCTCCCCTCTCTTCTTTGTGCACCTTGTTGCCTTGAATTCTCCAACCCCACCTCCCTCTCTGTCTCCTCTTTGTCTACACAAACTTTTATTACTTCTAAGAGTATTTATTGTTGTTAATCTTCATAAACACTATTTATTGTTACTACCAACAACACCTGTGAATACTAATACTCCTTTATCAGATTTGTATAGATGACACAATGTGTACTATGTGTGAATAGAAATAAGGCAGAATTTGACAAGTAGCTATAACACAGTCCTCTCTACATGTGTATACAAAAAGATATCTGCGTTGCTAATGTACTAACTGATGTGGATTTTTACAATAAATTTATTCAAAGTTTTGACGATGAAGATGATAATAATTATAATAATAGTGTCTTATTATATACATAATACATATATACTACTGCTATCCCTTTGATTCAATACATTCTATCGTACTTCTGGATTCCCTTGGGTTCCGAGTGGAACATAGCGAGGGCTTCAACAACACATCTCCAGTTTGTTCTGTTTTCTGCCGTCCTCTTCAGCTGGCTTGTTGCACGATCGACCAAACTCTCTCTCATCTCTTCCTCACACGATCTCCTTCATGTCACTCTAGGACAACCTACTCGTCGCTTTCCGCTTGCATTCCACTCGAGGGCCTGATGTGTGATGTCATTCGGTGGCCTCCTCAATGTATACCCGATCCATCCATCTCCACTTTCTCCTACATATTTGTTGAGCGATCGGATCTCGCCTGTTGGTTTGTTCCTATATTTTCTTGTTGCTTATTCTTTCTGGTCATTTGATCTTCAGTATGGAACCATTGAAGGTGGCATCTGTTGATGAAAGTCTGCAACAAGCTGTTGGAAATGCTTTTCGTGACACGTCAAGTTTCTGACCCGTATAAAAAATCCGACTTTACATTGGTGTTGAAAATGCGAATCTTGTTGTTTATGCTGATTGCGGAAGATTTCCAAACTGGTTTTAGGTTGATGAAGGCGTATCTTGCCTTTACGATTCTGACTCTGACATCTTTGTCTGTGTCATCCACCTGTAGTCGAAACGATGCTTCCCAGATAAGTGAAGGATGCAACCTCTGTTAAATCTCTTCCTTTAATGGTGAGTGGTGCTGGTCATTGTTGCTATTCGTTGGTTATCTTCATGACCTCCGTCTTCTCTATGTTCACTTGTAGCCCTGTTTTCTCTGCCTCTTCAGCCAGTTTGTTAAGTTCCGCCTGCCTGTAAGTCTTCGAGTTTGTGTGACATCAGACATATATCATCTGCGAAATCCAGACCTTCTGGAGTCTTCCTATCGGTCGTCCAGCGTGTTTTTGACTCCTCGCTCCCACGCACAGTCTGACGCATAATCTATTTAGTTCAACACAATTAAGAATATCATCGGTGACAGTAGGCAGCCAGCTTGTCTTACTCCTATATGCACTTCGAACGCCTCGCTGAGTGAGTTTTCCGTTGTGGATCACTTGACACGTGGCATTGTCATATAGCTGCTGAATAGGGTTGACAAAGACTTGAGGTACGCCGTAATGTTGAAGTAGTTTCCATATTACTTCTTGGTCAACGCTGTCTGTCGAAGGCCTTCTCGAAGTTAGTTTAAGTTGTTGTGATCAAGTTTGATCTATGGACCTGTCATGTTAAATGGTAGAGCACCACAACAAATGAACTGTATTCACTCGTGAATTTGCCGAATGTGTAAGTTAATGTTTAAAAATTACAGTATTTGAGATTCTGGATTTCCATCTAGTAAGTTGTGTTACCTTAATTGTTGTAGGATTTGTACGTTGACAGCTGGAATATAAAAGTTGATAGTCTTGTTGTAAGCGAGTAGGAATTATGTTTTACTCGCGGTGGTCATAAAGTTTTTGAAGACGTTGAAGAAATTCAGTTGAAAATAGTGTTCCCTGTGAGACGAGGTAATGAGATAAAAACAAAGGTAGGCTACATCCTGGGAGTTGATGACTTACATTTGCATCACTTGAGAGAGTTTCGTAAATGAGTCTGTGTATGAAGATGACCAAGTTAGTGGTGTTCCCCTCATACAAAAGCATGCTAGCGACTACAGTTCATCGAAAGGTAATTAAGGATGAAGAATTGTAGAGTCTAAATGATTGGGCAGTACAGGCGACTTCTTAGTTGTCCAAAGTAAACCTTGTGCCATCATCTGACGCTAATCCTCAGCACTGTGACTTCTTCTTCAAACTATTACCATGATGTGAGCCAATTATACCATGACAGTAACTGATTTCACAGTCACTGGTTTTTATCCTTGTATGGTAGGATCTGCAGAAATAATCGTCTTAGAAACCTCTCATTATTATTCTATAATATCCAAGTTCAAACAGTGCGTTACTTGAGTAGCTATTTGTCGGATGGAAGTCATCAACCAGCAAAGTTAATCACGCGTTAACTTTGTTAATACTTAAGTAAATAGATGGTAAAGGGAGATTTTATTGGTTAAAAGATTTCATTATAAGCTGACGTCGGTTAGAAAACCTGAGAGTACTAGACATCTGTTTCGTCCTAGTGTGGAACTGTTCAGTAGTACACACCCACTGGGATTCGAACCCAGGACCTCCTGGTTAAAAGTAGGACTCTTAGAAGATTAAGCCACTGGGACCTGACCCAGTGGCCCATGAATTTCAACTTCTGACAATTCACAAAGCCTTTATTGATGATTATTCCTGACTCATAGACGGTGAGAACTTCTATTTTTCTGCAATATCCTTCCGATGTATGGTGTAAGTAAACTGTTTACGACTCATGAAACAGAAGGAGTTTAGCAGAGAGTCACACATTTTAGTGACTATTCTTCTTTTGTAACTTAACAGGAAAGGCATTAAGAGAGTCTGATATCACAGTTTAACATGTTTACCCTAGTAATACGCAACCCAGTATTTTGGGAATGATGTCTACTGACTTATATTTTAAGCATAGTGTAAGATATGATCAACCTGATGAAGGTGGTACTCGCTGGATCAAAGCACGGATAGTGGTGGCTCGTTTGGCATTTGTATTATCTCATCATGCTTGATACAAACGTCAATTGTCGTTAACATCATCATCATGATCATGTGTGGGATGTCGCGATTTTTTAATTTTGTGTTTGTCTGAAACGGGAGCTGATTATAGTAGAAATGAAAAGTACACACCACTATGGACTATTAATAAACAGTGAGGTTATAACTACAGAGTACTTGACTGTCTGTAGTCAGTTGAAGTTATCAATAAAAGCGGCAAAATCAACCAGTCACTCAGTTCATGGGAAGAGAAATTCTTGTGTATTAGCTGAATAATTAGCTTATGAAACAAATATGCTACATATGTGCACCTTTCGTGTCATTTCAGTAGTCCATTCAGTGGAGAAGCATCTCTGAGTGTTTGCTAATTTATACTCAGTGCTTTTATTCTTTTCGTTGATGAATCTGTCCCGTTACATGACGTACAACGCTCAATTTACATAGACGTTTTGATTCATCAATGCAATAGCTATACACGAAGGACAATTGGAATACTTCAGATCCTGAACTCTTGAATGTCTGCAGCAGACAATTACACAACAAATTTAAAAATCAGTCTATACTGATTTAAAAATCTATTAGGACAGTGGAAGATGTATAAGCGATGAAGCCATCATACTCTTGAAAGTATTTCAATGGTGACTTGTGAGGTATTCTGCCATAGGAAATGAAAAATATGAGAACAAAAACGTTCAGCGAATAGTCTCTTTTCCCCGACGAATCCACTTGCTTAGCTCTACAGTCGCATTTAATTACAATCATTTTGTGTGTGAGTGAGTGTGTGTGTACATTAGGATTGTCAAACAAAAATAAAATAAAAATTAGTTAGAGTTATTGTTTATGTCATCAAAGTGATTCTAAAGTATGATGAATGATCAAAATTGTATCTAGGTTGGGGGGGGGGGGTGAAGATTGGTGAGTATTGGCCAGGGTTGCATTTTAGGAAATAGGAAGATAATGGAGACACATGCTCGAAACAAACTACGTAATATGTAGAAAGAGTAAATACAAGGTTGGTTAGAAAGATGTTACTAAGATGTCATACAAAAATTCAAAAAACGTAAAAGAAAACAAAACATTACTAACAAAGTCGTAGAATTATACCACCCAAGGTAGAAGGAGGGAGTGGAGAAGTTTCTTCTGTGTGCATAGATCAGAGTTTTCAATCAGGATCGCTAAGGTCTCGGCAGTGCAAAGTGTACGGAAGCTTACCGTCTTCGGGAGGTTTTTTGGACTTTTTAGATGACTTTGAATGATTTATCCTTGCATACTGAGTGGCAAGTGTTGAATATACGTACAATTATAGCACTCCTTATTAGTCAACTGTTACCTTTTCTTAGCCAAACGCGATAATTTTCTTCATCACTTTTGGATAATTCATAAATAATCCCCATCCAGGCATTAATGAAAACAAAACACGTAGTTCAGCGAAGAGTCTCTTTTCGGTGGCGAATTCATTTTCTTAGCTGTACAATCGCAAATATATATGTGTTATTTTGTATGCATGTGTATATTAAGTTTGTTAGACAAAAATACAATTGGTTGTGGTTATTTTGAATATAGGGGGGTGGGTGGGTGAGAATTATTAAGTTTTGGGTGGAGTTACGTGATACAAAAATGGTCAGGAAAATTGGGTGTTAATGAAACTAGTGTAGTAATAAAAGTGATGAGTTGTCACGATCAGTTGTTAAACAAGAGTTATGTAATAATGTGAATAGTTTGGTGATTGAGTTGTACTCAGGGTACACATACGAACAAACTAGAGAACACGAAATTACGTAAGAGTTCTAAATGAATACATGAATTGTAAGCAATTAGCGAAACAGGCAAACAAACAAAATTAAGTCATCAAAAATCAACTAAGTTGTTCCCATGATGGTAGAAGTGGTTGAGTAATTCTATTTTGTATGCACAGCTCCAGTTTTTCTATGTGAATGGCCAGAGCTTCAGAGATACAAGGAAGACGAAGCTGTATTGCCTTTGGTAGGTTATTCTTGACTGTGTGGATTACTTTGAAGCAGGAGGCGTTTGTTGAGATGGAATGATCCGTGTCAACCAGGTGTTCAATTATCGCAATCCTTACAGCATCACTATTGCCTTATTGGAGACATGTACCCGAAAAATTAAATTATGTAACCCTGAATCGGTAGATGAGGAGATCACTCTTTTGAGGAAGACACCACTTGAGAATGGCTGTACACCACGCTCTATAGATAAACACATAAAACAGTATTAGATCTTTTGAGAGAAATCTTCATCCAAAATGGATACCCACCAAGATCCATTGACAAAAATATCAAACCAAGAATTTGGAGGAATGAAACTTCACTTGCGCCT